TTAAACTGACATTAATGAATGTTGGGCAATGGTGGCACACACCTTTAATCCAGTGCTTAGGGGGCAGAGGCAGATGGGTCTCATGAGTTTGAGGCCAGCCTGGTCTACCAAGCAAGTTCCACAACAGCCTGAGCTGTTATACAGAAAAACCAAACTAAACAAACAAACAAACAAACAAAACCTCACAGAAAATCTACCTGCCTCTGCCTCCTGACTACTGGGATTAAAGGCATGCACCACCACATCCAGCTAGATTGAGTATCTTAAGCAGAAATCAACTTTCTTGCAGTTGTTTTTTTCCCTTGAGGTCTCTTTGCTTAGCCTGTTGATGGCTGCCATCTTATTGTGTCCTCATATGCTGCCTCATGGTCTAAGATGGTGATCTCAACCTGTGGGTTGTGACCTTTGCGGGGTCAAACTTCCCAGGGGTTGCCCAAGGTTACCAGAAAACACAATTATTTACATTATGATATGAAGCAAAATTACAATTATGAAGTAGCAGTGAGAATAATTATATGGTGTGGGGGGGGGTCACTGAAACCTTAGGGACTGTATTAAAGGGTCACAGCATTAGGAATGTTGAGAACCACTGGTCTGAGTACTGTGTGTGTCCTGACCTCTGGTAAGGACTCTAGTCATCCCACGGCAGCTCTCTTTACCTTGTCTCTTTAAGCCCTCTGTCTCCAAATGCAGTTGAATTGCGTGGGGTTGGGGTTCTAGTATAGGGATTGTAGTTTTTTGTTGTTGTCGTTTGTTCTTTTGTTTTGTCTTGTTTTTACTCTTTGGTGGTCCACCACTCAGCTCCCAAATAAATACTCGGAGACTCATTCTTTCTTATGAATGCCCAGCCTCTGCTTGACTTGTTTCTAGCCAGTTTTTCTTAACTTAAATTATCCCATGTACCTTTTGTCTCTGGGCTTTTATCTTTCTCTATTCTATGTCTTTCTTTGCATCTTACTCTGTTGCTGGCTGTGTGGCTGGATGACTAACTCATAGCATCCTCTCCTCCTTTTCTTGCTCCTTTCTTTCCTCTCTTTCTATTTCTATTTATTCTCGCTGCCTGACAGCTCACCTATTTCCCTCTCCTGCCTAGCTATTGGCCGTTCAGTCCTTTTATTAGACCAATCAGGTGTTTTAGACAGGCAAAGTAACACAATTTTACAGAGTTAAATAAATGCAACATAAAAGAATGCAGCAATCTTTGCATCATTAAACAAATGTTCTACAGCATAAATGAATGTAACACATTTTAAACTATATTCCACAACAAAGGACAGTGTAACCAACACAATTCAGCTCACCACAATATGTCAAGGGGTTATTGTAGAGATTAAATGGTACGGTACGTGCATAGCATCAGGGCATGTAGATGGTAACACAAGTCTAACTGCACTTAGGCAGGTTATAAATGTAACCTGGGGACCTTCTGTTTTAGGTACTCCATCAGCGCTGTCCTTTCTTTATGGTCTCTTGACTTGACTTGGGTTTTTCTAACCTCATTTCCTCTGTCTGTCTGTCTGTCTGTCTTGTGTGTGTGTGTGTGTGTGTGTGTGTGTGTGTGTGCACACTAGTGTACACATGACCATGAGCAGGCACAAGCATGTGGTGGTCAGAATTTTCTGTGGACTGTCTTCAGACTTTGCTGTTGACCTCACTAATTCTGCTTGACGGGTTGACCATCAAGCCCTAGGAACCCTCCAGGCCCCGCCACCTCCATCCAGCCCAGTGCATACACCAATAAGACTGGGGCTGTTGTTGTTGTTGCTTGTCTGTTTTTGTTTTTCAAACCATGGGTGCTGATCGCGGGTCCTCACACCTACTTGGCAAGCCCTTGACCAACTGAGCCATCCCTCCAATCTCCTCCTTTTATTTTTTATTTTTAATTTTTTGAATGTTTTATGTAGTCCAGCTTGGGGCTTCTTATGTAGCTCTGGATAAACTTGACCTCCTGATCCTCTGCCTTCATCTTCCAGTGCTGGGATTAAACACATGTACTCCACACTTAGTATGCACTTCTCTGCTGGAGGTGGAACCCGGGATCTCACGAACACCAGGAAAACATGACATTGAGCTACACCCTCAGCCTTATAAATAGTGAGGCTCTTGTCATGCTGCTCATGAACTTGTCATCCTCCTACCTCAGCCTCTGGAGCTGGAATGACAAGTGTGCATCACCATGTTCGGCATTTTGGTTCCCATTATTATTCCTTGTCTGGCCCCTTCCTAGTCCCAACAAGATGTTTTCCCTGTGAACGGATCTCACATTCCCCTTATGCAAGTGCTCTAAATTCTTTAAAATGGGGCCAAAACCTGTCTCCACTCCCGACAGAGCAGCAAGTGCATCTCCAAGGCTCCTGCTGTATCTCTTCTTTGGAGATGTCATTTATTATTAAACTTTAATGATAATCACTTATATTTATAGCTCTTTTTCCATTTACAAAGCTCTTTTCTATCCATTATCTCTTTTAATCCTCCCAGCATCTGTGAGGAGGAAGTATGTTTTTCTCAACTTCATAAATGAAGAAAATAAGACTCTCAAGAGTAGTATCAGAACTGGAGGAGCCGAGGCAGGAGAATTGCTACAATTGGAGGCCAGCCTGGGCTGCAGAGTAAAACCCTGACTAAAAACAACACCAACAACAAAAAGCCTGGGGAGGGGAGCACTGTAATCCTAGCATCTGTGAGGCGAGGCGGGAGGATCCAGATGAGTTCAACACAAACCTGAGCTACTTGTCTCAATCTTCCTCTCACGCCTCTCCTCCCCTGAAAATGAGCTGTTCGTCTCCTGAGCTGCACACATCATAGGTGGCAGAATTTAGCCTCAAATTCTGCACTTTTAGTTCTGATGTGTCAGAGTGGCTCATGTATTCGGACATCCTTCTGTTAAAAACAGACAACAAACGAAAGATGCTGAAGCTGGTCAACGCATGCCCACAGTGCCAGTGGAGGCAGAAGAATCAGAAGTTTGAAGTCATCCTCCTTACTCTGTGAGTCTGGGGCCAAGCTGGGTTACAGGAGACCCAGTTTCAGCACATAACCAGATCAATATATAAGCTCCTTGTATCTCTTTTGCAGGAATGTAGATGAATTATTTAAGACTATTTAGATCAGAAACAACAACAGAGAAATCGGCTTAAGCAGACACTGGCTTGATCACCCCAGGATCAAGCAAGAGCTGAGTGAGGAGGGCTCTATGGGGCCAATAGGGTCACAGGAGTCAGAAGGGGTGTGAACAGAACTTCACAGAGAGCTTCTGCTCTACAGAGGAAAACCAGTGGACCTTTTGATGTCCTTTTGTCCTAGACCACCTAACTTGGCTCAGCAGGCTAGGAAAAGAGCAGTTTATGACAAAGTGCTGACTGGAGTAAGGAAATTGTTTGGGAAACATCCAAATGGAAGCTGGAAGCATGCACAGCAAGATACCTGGAGATGCTATGAGACCAACCCTCCTGTCCTGCCCTTCCTACACCTCCCCTCTCCCTAGAGAACCTGGGAACACCGCCTGTCTATTTCATGTGTGCGATTGTCTCCCATGCCCCGAGCTGGAGTGCCACACTTCGGGGACCTCATCCCTGCTTATTAGATGGATGAGTAAGTTCATGAGTCAGGTTGACAAAGTATGTCAACTTTCTTCCTCAGCTCCTGTCCCCATCTGTAGAGTAAGATGTAAGGGAAGGAGATTTCTTGCCCTGTGCCTCCTGCTCATGATTCTGGGACCTCAGGATATTTGGCAGGTGGAAAGGAAGCCTTCTTCAAAGAGAGAGTAGAAACAAGTCAAATTCATGGCCCATACTCTGGCCCTGGGGAAGGTGAATTCACATGGACCTGAGGTCTCAAATTGTAAAATTTCATAGCACGTTCTCCCTTTACAATTTCCTGTTTCTTAAAGAGATGTTAAAAAGAAAAATAACCCCTCCCTGTCTATTACCACCATTTCTTAAAAGTTAGAATTTTAATCTGGGATGAAACTCTGTTGGTAGAATGCTCTCCTAGCATGTATGAAGCCCCAAGTTTGATCCACAGCACTGCACAAACCAAGTATGTTGGTGCATGCCTATAATCTCAGCACTTGGAGACGGAAGCAGGAGGATTATTGCAAGCTCACTCTAAGATACTGAGTTACACACACACACACACACACACACATATATATATACACACACACACACACACTGTCTCTCTCTCACACACATATCTTTAAAGTGGACATAATTTGTTCACTTTACAGATGGGGAAACAGGTTCAAAGAGCTCAAATTCAAGGTCACAATCAATGTTAGTTTGTCTGGGTTCCAAAGGCCCAACATCAGTGTCCTTGGAGGCTTTCTTTGCCCTAATCACCAGGCTTGACTTTGAGGATTTTTTGTTTAGTTCTTCATGATGTGCAAACATCATGGCATGCATGGTTTGGGCACTGGGGAGGGTGTAGAGAGGAAAAACCAAACTTCCCCATCCCGTTTCTCTCTTGTTTTTGGTACTCAGCCTGAGTCCTGCTCCCTGGCCAGACCTCCTTGTGTTGTGGGCCAAGGAATCCCCAAGGCTGGCTGGTATGGGGTGTTAACAGTTTAGGAGTTTCCCTCTCCCAGGGGGGTGTTGACAGTTTCCTAGGAAACTCTGGAAACCTTCACCGCCTCCAAGACGCAAAAGCGTGGAAGCAGAATGGAGAGACTAGAGATATTGTCATAGGTGGTAGGTGGTAAGCTGGAATCAAGAGATTGAGTTCAACGCCTATCAAATAATCCTCGTTCAGGGCCCTTCCCCCATTCCCCATTCCCACAAGCTTTGTGGGGAGCCAGAGCCCCTCAACTCAGGCTCGCAGAAGGGAGTCCCGGCAGTCGGGTCTGTGGTCGGGGTGGGAGTGGGGTGTGTGGTTCTGGCTGAGGGACTTTAGGGTCATCGTGCCTGACTTTCCCTCTGGCTGCCAAGACCTGGGGCGTCCCTCCCCCCTCTCTCGTTCCACTCTGCTCAGTTTTTTACGCCCGCGCGGGAGCGCGCCCCGGCTGCGCCGCGCCAGTGCACGGGAGCGCGCTCCTTGGCGCGGGAGCGCGCCCCGGGGAGAGCCCGAGCAAGATGGAGGCCGCGCAGAGGACGCCGCCTGGGCCGAGGCATCCACTGCCTGGAGCACCGAGCCCCGGCGCTTGAGCCCTGCCGGTCCCGGATCAGCGGCCCTGACCCGGCCCAGGTTGGTCCTCCCGCTTCCCTTCTCCGCAGCTGCAGCCTCTGCGCGCGTCCGGCCTGGGCGCAGGGTAGCCACCCCCCAAGCTTCGGCCCTACCGGGGCCCTGCCTCTCCCCCGCACCCCGGCACGGCCCCTGCCCGCTGCCCACCCCTCCAGGCCCAGACTGCTACCTGGCCTCGGGTCCCTTGTCCCCTTGGCCTGGAAAGCCACTGGCCCTGGCCCTGGCCCGCCAATCCTGGACTGCCCCCCCCCCCGCAGCCGACATTCAGCCCCGGGTTCTAAGGAGCACCCCCCACTCTCCAGTACGAGAGCAGACCCAGCACTGTCAGTCCCTGATTCCACACTAGCCTTATCCCGATTCCAGCACTTAGCCCTGGTTACAAATTTTTGTCCCCTAGCTGGCCCTAGTGTAACCTTCCTCATGCCCTCAGTACCAGCCCCTGACAACCTCTTCTCCCCTTCCTTATAGAGCTCTATCAGCATCCAGATCCCCTTGAGACACCCAGTCCCAAACCCGCTACCCCAATAACAGCTCCAATATGCCCTTCGCAGATCCCTCCATCAGGTGCCTGTTAATGCTCCGGTATTGATCTCCATCTTTCATTACATCTCCCCATGGCCCCCTCCTATCCAAGCACCAGTTCCCAAGCTCCCTCTCCAACTCCCCCACCAGCACTTTCTGGTATCTCCCTACTTCCAGCTCCCATATCCTCATCTCAGCCCCCCAACTTTCCCATGGCCCCTTTCCTAGGCCCCCAATAAGAAACCTTGGCTAGTATTTCAAGTCGCCGCCCCAACACTGTCATGACCCCCTCCTAGCTCCCCTGTCAGCCCCCAGGTCCCCAGCTCCGCCCCAGGCCCCGCCCTTGCGAGTTCCTTGACTCAGGGCTGCTTCTCGCGTGCGTCCCCAGCTCCCGCCCCGCAGCCCGGTGGTCCGGTGGTCCGTCCTGGGCCGGCGGCCCCCCACCAGCAGCTGCCGCCGGCCCCGCCCCCGGGCACCATGCTGCCCTCGCAGGAGGCCTCCAAGCTCTACCATGAGCACTACATGCGGAACTCGCGGGCCATCGGCGTGCTGTGGGCCATCTTCACCATCTGCTTCGCCATCATCAACGTGGTGGTCTTCATTCAGCCCTACTGGGTAGGAGACAGCGTGAGCACTCCCAAGCCTGGCTACTTCGGCCTCTTCCACTACTGCGTGGGCAGCGGGCTAGCGGGCCGCGAGCTCACCTGCCGGGGCTCTTTCACCGACTTCAGCACCATCCCGTCCAGCGCCTTCAAGGCGGCCGCCTTCTTCGTGTTGCTTTCCATGGTGCTGATTCTCGGCTGCATCACCTGCTTCGCTCTTTTCTTCTTCTGCAACACCGCCACTGTCTACAAGATCTGCGCCTGGATGCAGCTCTTGGCAGGTAGGGGAGGAGTGGGTGCGGGACCCTCGGCAAAGATGCTGGAGTCGGGAGCTCTTTCTTGGAAGAGTCAGAGCTAGATTCTTCTCTGTGTTGAGACACTCAGTGGTCAACCCTCAGCAGCTATTAGGGAGAACATTCAACAACCTTAGGGCAGGGACAAATCCTTGGAAATGGTATTTGAGTCTGTCTGCTTGAAAGCATAGGGGCTTGGTCAGCTGATGGGTTAGCGTTATGTTCGTGTTTCGGGGGTCTCTGTTAGCTGTCTTTTAGGAAAAAGATTCCTCCCCCCTGAATGAGAGCTTACTGTAAGTGTTGTCAATCTCTGTTATGATGGGGCAGGGCCGGGGGCATGAATTGGGGACTCAAGAACTGTGGCTTGAACCTTTAACTGGCTGGCATTATTGACTTTTTTGAGGTTTGGTTTCCTCATCTGTGAAATGGTGCAGAGAAGAAATGAGGGGGGCTTTGGTACATTTTAAAGTCCTGCCCTGAGAGGTGGGAGGCTATCTGTGGAAAGTTTGCAACATGAGCCTCTGGAGAAAAAGAATGTCCCCTTCACTATGACAGAAGGGTTCTGCGTTGAATTCAGTTTTGACGAGTTCCTTGAAGTCTCTGAACTGTTTGACTGGCACAGCCATCTTTCCCTAAGGAAAGGCCTTTTGGGAGAAAGATATGCTGAGACAGTTTCCCCTGATCCATTAGAGTCCTGTGTCCCCGCCCACTCTTCGATCTCAGTCACATTTTGAAAACTCAGCAACCTGGGCATTTGCCTAATTGCAGGAAAGGAGAAGAAAGTTGGGAGGGCAAAGAGGAGCCTAGGGATGGCAGGGTGGGGAAAGAAAATGGATGGAAGCCAGGGAAAGGTTTAGAGCCTCTCAGGGATGGGGAAGAAGAGGAGATTTGGTAACCGTGCATTAGAGATGGTACTTCACAGTAAGCTCTTTGGAATATTCAACAAGTGTTCAGCCCTTCAAAAGAGGCCCCCAAAGGAAAGGTGATAGCAACTTGCTGGCAATGCCACCTCAGGAAGCATAGTAGGGATTTGGCTCTGCAGTGTGGTGTGTATTCACTTGAGCCTTCCCATTGGAAAGAAATAACCATCTTTTCAAGGAGGAGTGTGAGTTTTCAAAACAGTTTGAAGTCACTCAAGGTCAAGTGTTAAAGTGACCAAATTAAGACTTGTCACTTGGGTGGAAGGCCAGGGTGAGGTCAAGGTCATGAAGCTAGTTTTACAAATGTAGAGAGGAATTCCTGCTCCTACTGGGAGATGTCTAATATCTGAAAAGGACTGGTTAGGGGAAGGTACTATGTACTCAGATATGGACATTCTTTTTTTTTTAAAGATGTGTTTTTGTTTTTACTTATGTGTATGTGTGTATATGGTAGAGATCATGGTGTGCACTCAAAGGCAGTTGACTGTGGAAGCCAGAAGATGGCATTGGATCCTCTGGAGTTGGTGTTACAGGTAGTTGTGAACTGTGAAGACTGGGAACTGAACTCTGTCCCTCTGTAGAAGCAGATAGCATCCTTAACCACTGAGTGGTCTTTCCAGTGCTCAGATGTAGAGACCCATCTTAATGTGACTCTTTAAGAACCTTGGAAAAGAACAGAGAAAGCAAAATGAAGGAAATGGGGATGCTGTTCCACCTTTTCCAATAGGGCCCAGAGATGACATGAGCATTTTCATTGCATTTTCCCTTGAAGGCAAGCTGGAAAGACTATGTGCTCAGCTTGAACCCCAATTCATCAACTTTAATTTGGAGTCTGCAGATGGGTTCCTGACCTCTTGACCCTCAAATTCTCTGTGATCCATATGGGATTTCATCTTGGGATTTGATGGACAATTCAACAGTGCAATCACTGAAATTTGGCAATCTTAGAGATCACCACCTTGAAATGTCCCCTTCATTTCTCTCTGTTTCAGAGAGGCAACTGACCACTGACATGTGAGAGACTTACTCAAAGTCACATCACTGACATGGGAGTAAACTCAGTCTATGGCCACTTTTTTTTTTTTTAATGACTCCTGGTTCAGCACATTTTTCTTTCCCTGAGAGCCAAGGGGGCAGTTGGCAGAGTTGATTGCATTTTGCTCAGAGATTTCTGAGTTCTCTAGATAAGTGACTGATTCTTATTGCTTAATAAAGGAGCACTAGGAAATGGGCCAATCATCAGTTAAACATGTCTCAGCCTACAGTCTTTTTACTTTTTAAAGACAGTAATTTGTTTGTTTGTGTGTGTGTGTGTGTGTGTGTGTGTGTGTATTCATGCATGTGCTTTCCACACACATTCATGTGTGTAATTATGCATGCATAGGGTTCTTTCCATCTCATGGAGCTTCAGATGGGAGCTGCATTTGTTAGGTTTGGTGGCAAGTGCTTTTATCCATTGAGCCACCTTTTCAGTTTTAATCTCAGTTTTCCCATCTGGGACTGAGGACTGTCACTTGGTTGGTTTGGAGTGTACTTTTCAGCCATAGAGCTCCTGTAGACAACTCTTTTGGAGACCACCCCACTCAAAAAGTGAGCTGTCAGTCATGCCCAGAGTGACAGTGCAGAAACAAAGCCTTGTTTGTCATATAGGAATTAGAGCACTTGTCACTTGATTCTTCTCTCTTTGGACAACACCCCCCTCCCAGAATTTTGAAGAACACCTTCTTATTGACAAAATACAGAGATATGAGATGTCTCTTCCTTCCTTTCTTCCTCTTTTTTTTTTTTTTCCCTGAGACAGGGTCTTACTTCTTAACCTAGACTATCCTGGAACTCACTATGTAAAACAGGCTGGCCTCAAACTCTCAGAGACCTGTCTGTCTTGACTTCCAAGTGCTTGGATTAAAGACATGAGTCACGATGGCCAGCTATATTTTGTTTTTATTTCTCACCTGTTATGTGATCATTCTGTGCTCAATGCTACAATGCTGGGGGTCACAGTCACTGTGAGACACCATGATTGAGGCAACTTATAAAAGAAAACACTTAACTGAGGGCTGGCTTACAGTTTCAGAGGTTAGTTCATTTTCATCATGGTGGCAGGCATGGTGCTGGAGAAGGAGTGAAAGCTACACCCTGATCCGTAGGCAGAGAGACAGAGACGGAGCCTGGCATGGGCTTTTGAAACTTCAAAGCCCATCCCCAATGACACTCTTCCCCCAACAAAGGCCTCACCTCCTAATTCTTCTAATCCTTTGAAACAGTGTCACTCTCTGGACTAAACATTCAAATGTATGAGCCTGTGGGGGTCATTCTTATTCAGACCACTAGAATGGGGTACACAGGCCATCCTTGACTGTATTAGTGTTGCATTGACAAATCAAAACTCAGACTTCCTCTTGGATTAGCTTGACTAAGATTAAGTCAAAATTAGAATTCTCCATGTCTTCTACCTGTGGTTACTGACCAGTCTATTGTCAGTTGTGTGTGTCTGATCTGTCTGTTCCTGTTGTTATTGCCTGTATCTGTCCTGTGTCTCAGTGTGTGCCTGAATCTGTGCCTGTGTGTGTCTTTCCCAAAGGACTTTGCACAGAAAACATGGTATGGGGAAGAAATGAGAAATTCTTTACAGAAATCTTAACAGGATTTTAGAAGGGAAGAAATTGCTTTACTGACCCTAGCTCATTCAACAGTGTAAGTAGCTGCTCAAGAATAGCATTCAACAGTGCAAGCACATCTAGTCAACCTGTATCCACAGGTGGCTTCCAATTATCATATAAGGTTGCCATCTACCTGTTGGCTGCTATCAGCAAATGATACATATATGCATGCATGCATGCATACATACATACAGTATTGTGGGTCAGGAGCACATAAACATACACAGTTTAAGATTAAAGTGATGTATTAGCTTAGGTTATAAAAGGTATTTGCACAGGAAATCCAAGACATAGTAAGGTTAGTTACATTGTTCTCTTAAAGGCAGTTTAACCATAAACCTAAGAACACAGTAGGACAGCAGGTTAAGTAGATAGTCTTAAATAATCTCAAGGAATATTATTAACTCAACTGCAAGGTCCGGAAAAATATTCAGCCCCATTGGAATCCAGAGATATTTTCCGAAAAATGTGTTACCATGTCTGACCCCAAGGATCTTAAGCCTATGGAATCAATCCCTGCTCTCAGGAAGCTTGCTGTCTACTTGGGTCATGATATTGGTCAGCAGCCTTGGAGCAATGGACAATATAAACTCAGCTCACACAATCATAAATAAAATGCAATAAAGAGCATGATTTGAAAATTGAGAATTTCTGGCTTCAGGGTGGACCTGGATGCTTAGGTGATGTCTGAGGCACCCACCTCTATCTCTTGGTTCTTCTGTGCTGGTTCATTTTAAGCCTACTCCTTCTTAAAGGTAAGAAACAATGCTACCAGCAGCTCTGACTTTACCTAGCTCAAGCTTAGCAATGACTGTGGAAAGTGAATGCCAACAGCCAGGCATGGTAGTACACATCTTTAATCCCAACACTTAAGAGGCAGAAGCAAAGGTAGTAGGATCTCTGTGCGTTCAAGGCCAGCCTGGCTACACAGTGAGTTCTAGGACAGCCAGGACTATATAGAGAAACCCTGTCTCAGAAAAGCAAAAACTAAACAAAAACAAAAAGAATTATGCCAGTAAAATTTCCAGAGCTGAATCCTATCAGCCCAACTTCTGCCAGGTTGATGCTTCCTCATGAATCATGGTGACTTTGTCTAAGACTCATATCTGTGCATCCTGCAACCAACACCACAATGACCAGTAATGAGAAAGGTGAGTCCCCGCAGAGACTGTAAAAGAGGGACCATGAGTAAGATGACCAAAGACATTATTCCCAACCCCTGGGGATTCTGGTGTGTGCTGAGCTGTAAATGGTATAGATACCAGGGCTGCAGTCAAGGCTGGTTGTGGCTTAGCCGGAAATCCAGGCTGGAGATGGATAGTGTTGGCAGGTGCGAGGTGTGGGCGAGTGCATTCTGAACAGAGAAGGCCGTGGATAGAGAGGCACATCTGACTTGAGTGTGAGCAAG